CATAAAGTTTTAGTTCTTCATTAACATTTGGTCCAATGCCTGATGTATGAGAAAGTACATGTCGCATTGTAATAGAAATATTTGGATAAAATGGATGAATAACTTTCATATCCGACGGTAGATATTCATTAATGTCTTTATCAAGATCAAGTTCATGTGATTCAACAAGTTGCATAGCAGCTACTCCAATGAATGTTTTCGATATAGAAGCTAAGACATATATTGTCTTTGAAGAATCAATTGGTTGACGTTCCTCGAAAATTGGAGGTGCATTGTAACCAAATGCTTGTTCATAAAGAATATGTGTTGAATTAACTACGATTGCTGCAAGACCAGGAATATATGTATCATACAGAGAATTTTCGATTGATGTTTTTGATGGTGGACATTGAGAAATGGCAGTATGTCCTTGAGTGAAAGCAATAAAAAAAAGTAGTACGAATATCATTATGATAATACAATGGATTGTAAATGAATTTGATTCTTATCTTTTTATTCTACTAGGTAACAAAGGATTAATAAAAACATTCTACATAGGTATTAAAATTGTTATTTTCTACTGCGCAAATAAAATATTAAAAGCTTAACATTTCGATGAAGATTTTATGAAATAGTTATTCTGCTTCTTTTGATTTTATTCATATTTATTCTCCAGTGAATGTACCGACCCAAGAGTACCCGAAAAGTACTCTGGTATTAGTATGTTCGAAGATCCGTTTGATATTCAAGCACTTTATCGAGTACCCTGCTGAAAAGCATCTAGCAAATGGATACTTGAAAGTACTGATTGAGTACTCCACTGGATACTATTGCACAGTATTTTTCGGTACCATGTTGCCAAAATTCTAGTAGGTTGATGATCGAATTTAACCTTTGACTTTTTTCATTTTTGTTTTTCTCAAGGAAATTTATGACATTTTTTGATTTTATTTAATTTAACTTTTTCCGATTCTGAAAACTCAGGTAGGTCAAATTTCAAGATGTGACTCAACTTGAATTGGTCGATTCTCCATCAGATCACTTCAGGATTGTCCCTTCTCAATTGATGATTGAGATCAGCATGTTCGCCACTAGTAAATAGTCCAGATATAATTTAGAAAAAATTAGTATGAAAAAATATTAAGTTTTTATGCTTTGTCGAGTTATTTATATAAAGCGTTGTGTACAAAAGAAAACAATGAATGAAGAGTATCTACACAGAATGCGACAAATTTAAGGTACCCTGTAGAGCTTTCATCAGTAAAATTACAGATGTGGGTACCCATACAAGTACTTGTTCAGTAAGCATACTGCTATGGGTACCCTATGCAGTACCTAGATCAGTATAATTACTAAGAATTTTCGAAGTACACATATCGGTTACCTTGCCGAAGCTTTCGCAGTATATCGGTTCCCTCAGCTCAGAACACTCATTAGGATTAGTAATTGATGATTCTTTCAAATGAAAAAAACTATTAAGTCACATAACTACAATATATCCGTAGCACTTCCTATCTGTAAGGATAAATGAATATTTGAGATAATTATTGTTATTTACAAAAAATGCCTTAAAAAATTGTTTTGATTTATTGATCATATTTTTATATAAATGTCAAAAAGCTTCCTGTAGTTATTTCATCGAAGATCAATAAATTATATCCTATGAAAAATAGCAACTATTTATTAAAATAATACTTGGACTCTTTTCATAGATGTCATGAACTATCGCATGTTTGATATCATATTAACAAAAGACTGTAATGGTAAGAATCAAGCTAAGTTACATTCAATTAAATAAAGAAATGGAAAATTGAAAAAGGTGTTACTATTGTTTGATCCATCTTCCTTTATATATTTTTTAAATGTATATGGTAAGACACGAAAATATATGGTTAACCGATAATCTTTCTAGATGTATACATTAGTAAATGAATATTCGCAAATATTGAAAACGAAATACAAAATTAGATATGTATTCAGTTGTCCTGCTAAAAATGAAAAATTTCATCGTTTCATAAGTATTTCAAAATAAACAAAATTGGATGAAAAAGAACATTCAATATTTAACTATAAACAAAAATAAATGATTAAATGAAGTTCGGAAAAGACAACATATAAACAACATTCTTTTTCAAATAAGATAAACGTAGTTGTAAGAAATTGACGATCAGCTGTTGTTACTAAAAACGATCGTTCAGATGAATTCATTATATTATAATTTAATCTTCAGTGTTTGTCTTCATTTCTGTATTAGGTTAAAGATCACAGGTCGCATACAGGCTTTAAGGGACAAAATTACAAGCGGATGAGGCAATAAAGGTAAAGCTACAGACAGATAACGTCAATGGTAAACCAATAATATAATTGAGATAATAAACGATGGGGCTATAATTGAGTAAGATAGTAAGGGCTATAAAACCGAACAGCAAGTTGGGCTATAACAATATTAGCAATATAAGAGCATGTCGCTCAACGGCTATCTCAATGTACAATATCGAATATCTGTATGCTAATCATCAGGTGACAGGTTAAACCTTTGAAATCTTTATAAAAGAAATTCTGGTGTGTAGTATCCATGGGATCCAGCTACTTTTGAAATACTGGTAAATTTACCAGATGTCACTTATAGAAACTGCGATTTTCATTATCCGAATTTTCTTCAACATTGTCTTTGTGTAGTATATTAGATTGAACAGACATAACTATGTCGAGATGTCCGTCGCAATATCAAATAAATACATGGCAATGAAAATGGCTGATTTCACAAGTGATCTGTGGTGAATTTATCAATATTTCAAAATAAACATTCTCATTAAAGGCTTCCTCAGAAATGATTTACTGCTTAGAATTTGCTCTTTTGTGCAGGAAGTTTCAATAATGAATATTTCTGATGTTTAACACTTGTGGTAAAAATATAAACTTGATACGTATAAGCGGACAAACTTTTGGCTTCTTCGCATACTTTCTACAAAGACCATAATAACTCTATCGTAAGACTAGATACAGAGCTTAGACCGGTTTTAAATTAAAGCTAGTCTTCATTCTCAACTTTTAGACAAAATATTTAAATTTCATTTCATTGATTTTTATGTGCATTAATGGTCACAGCTTGCAAAACATGCATAAAAAGGTGACTCGATCGACTGTTAATTCTACTTTTCTCAAACCAAGAAGCAAGAGTCAAACATTCCTCCAATCAAAAGTTATCTTCGATGAAGATCTTTAAAATAAAAACAGAAACATCAATTCTACTTCGAATCAGGATGCAGTTGTTTTAGTTTTTTCTGCCTGAAAGCTGTATTTTGAGAAAATCAATAAAAGAATTTTCAAATAGGATTTTTTCATTAAGATTCTAAAAAACTACAATACAATAGGAGTTTGAGATGAGCTACATTAAAATTCAGTCACTCATTGTCGACACTGTCAATCTGAAATATCCTTATTTATATCAGCATTGCTAACAGTGAATGAAGTGAGTTTGAATGTAGCTTAGAGTGTGGATGTCTGTTGGTCCTTGTGGGTGCGGGTTTGGATGTAGGTCTGGGTCTGGTTGTGAGTTTTGGCATGTCAATGTCGATAAAGATGTTCTCTCTAACTACACCCATAACTTACCCATTGCAAAGGCTACTTTCATGTAAAACGATATTTGTTAAAAATTCCAATTTTTGAAAAAACTTGCTTTGTTAAAAAATAATATCATCCATCTCGAATGCAAAGAACTGATAACCGATTAGCACAATATGAGATAACTGAACGCTCTACAAAACTTAACAGTTAGAAGATGTTTCTCATTTTTGTATCAAATGGATTTGAGTTAGAATTCAAAATTTGAAGACATAAAGTTGCTCAAACTCAATTTTGAGCTCTTTAAAGAGATGATTCCATAGTTCATTAAATTTTCATCGAAAAGAAATGTTGGATACGTTTTCGAAGAAAGCATAAAATTTTGATTCTAATCGGCTGTTTTTTTTACCTATGGAGTCACTATTATGTGTTCAAAAAACGGACGAACATTTTTTCCAAGACTGTATTGACATAGTTTATTACATTTATTGTTCGATTACTAAGTGGTTGAGGCTTAAGTCAAAAAGGATAATTTATTGCAACAAATGTAACATTTTATAGAACATAACAATTAATATTGAATAATATTAACTCATCGTTAATATTAAAAAATGAATTCGTTACTTTAACTAATTCATCATCATCAGATATTGAATATACACTCAAGATATATTGATTTGTATTTTATGTGAACTTAGTTTATTAATAGAAAGTTTTAAAACATCAACACCTTTATAATTATAAGATAATTGTCAAGGATTCATTAATATATTGTTTTTAGTTATTCTGAATCCGTCACATTCATTAAGATGATCATCATCATGATGTCTTCGATTGATTACAAAAGCATTACCATTCATCATTGATGACGCCAATGATTGATCGATATGTAGAGAAAATGAAATCTTTAATAAAATAATCGACTTCATATAATACACATGCTATGTCAGGATATTTACTTGCTTTACAAAATTTATTTGAAGCTGTTTATCGATGTTCATTAGGTTAGTTCGATTTCAAAATAATGAATAAAAAACCTATTTTCTATATATCATCTTTCAGTGTAATTAATTTCAGCATTTTATCTTAACTAATTTTTGAGAAATTTGTCACATTTTTGATTTTCTTGACTATTTAGATATTCTCTCACATCATACGAAAACTATGTTTGATTTTACTGATGGTTTATTACAAATGACAAGAACTGATCAACAACAATCTTTATTTCCACATGTTATACTTCAACATATTCATCATATAGCATAGTATTTACTTGTTGTATGTTCTATATTTAGAGAATAAATTATCAAAAAACTTGTACCATGTTTAGTATTGCTATAGTGTAATGTGTTTCCATAATCATAAACTGATTTTCAAAAAGGCAAACAACTTGATGATTCATTTACATCGACACTTTCATTTAATCAGTGTTCAGGTACATTGTGTTTAATGATATCATTTTTAAATAAATGTTAAATAGGTGATGATCAATTAATAACTGATGATTTACTTAAACGCATGTTAAATCCGATTGAGGGTGTGGATGTATATGTACTAAGGAAGACTCCTATTCACATTCACACCCTCTTCAAAATAAAATCAGTTCCGTTATATTTAAGTCAATTTATGATTATATACATAAGTATCTATTTATTTTTCATTGGTGATTGTTCGTTCAATCAAGAGAACACTGAGAAGGGTGTAGGTGTGGTTGTTGATGACGAGTTAATCCTTACCCACACCCACCAAACTCACACCCAATCTGGTACAAATTACACAAACAGTTTCATTTTTGTTCCTCTCATATAAATTATATAAATGGATTTTTTATTATTTTAGTTTTTATATAAACCATTATCAACTAGTAATAGTTTCATCATTGTCTACTGAAACAAAATTTTAAAA